CTACGTCCCCGTGGCTCGGAGTGTGGTAAATTGTTACTCCCGTATGTGTTCTGTGTATCAACGTCTGGGTGTTTCACTGGTGCATTTAGTGCGGATTCTTTCTCTCTCACGAGGGCGTGCAGACGCTCTACCTGCACCATTAAGGACAGTTTCTCTTGTCTCTCCCTTTCAAATTTTTCCTCATTCCATAATCTTTCTCTGTCTGTCTGTGCGAGGAGATACGAGTCTACCCTCGCTATTTCTGCAATTTTTACGTCACGTTTGGCTTTGCCACATTTCATCACGTCCTTAAGTAGTTTCCTTCTATGGGCCTTAACATCTTCTGTATGGCTCCCCTCCCATATATCTCTCTGCTCCGTCTGCTGGCTAGCAGTCCGTCCAGTACGTTTTAACACAAATTCCCGATATTGTTTTTCCATAGATTCCATCTCCTCCTCAGAGGTCCACTCTGTATCAGTGTTATGCGTTGGTGTGTCAAACTCAGAATGTTGTGGATCCTGTGCCATCTCTATTATGTAGTGTGGTTAATAGACTTAAGAGTGTATCTTAATTCTAACATCTCATGTGCGTCGTGAGTTACTCTAGAATTCCCTTTCAGAGCACATATAAACAATTGTATCACAGGATGCGTCAGTTTAACTCGAGCAAATAATCTCAGCCCAGCTGTCTTTTTTATACTCTGCTACTCTGGTACCTCCCTTCAGAGCGCGTTTTGTTTGTATACCCCCGTTTACAATCACAAGGCAACGTTAGTTCACAACACTTTGATTAACACATCAGTGATTCGTTCCTGAATTCATGCATAACTGTCTGCGAGAGATCCCGGAAGACGAGCCCCCATTATGTTGTATATGTTGGGTATGAAAATTTGTTATGTTGTATGCGTGCGTGGGTGAAATTATTATGTTGTATATGTGGGTTATGAATATTCAGTGGAAATAATAATAATTAAATGAAATTTGGCCAAATGTGTAATTACCCGGAAATATGTTAATTTATGTAATTACGCACATTTTAATTATGCCAATTCGAGAGGTAATCGTATTAATTATGCGAGTGGGTGTAATTATGATAATGCAAGTCGTTATGATAACCAGACCCCGGTTCACCCCGTTATCGCTTTAACAGTTTACTGAGTATGTATTAGTGTGTTTATTAAGGTCACCAAGTTCAAATCTCAACGCAGAAGCAGATCTTATGCATAGATTTCAGGAAAGAATCACACAACCACTTCTGTATTGATCAATTTATTACTAATTCAACCTTAACTATGATATAGTATGCGAACTCTCAATCCCGGAACGTCAATACGGCATCAATACAGTATCATCAACGATTGTCGGATTTCACTTCGACAACTGCACATGGATCCCGCCTAACGCGATGGTTGTTAGTGAGAGAGAGAGTCGTTAAAACGTGCAAATACTATGCTAAGAAAACCTTAACGTTAATAAATGATTATACTCAATATTGTTCACGCAGTACCGCACTCCTTATTGATCATACGCAACCCTTATCACGTTGTTAACACCTTGGGTCACGGAACAGTTGAATATTCTGTAGAGGATGCGAGTACGTGCGGCGATTATGACTGAAAGATACTTGAAAGATTATACGGCGATAAAAAAAAAACACAATCAAAACAGTTATTATTCTTAAAGGCACCAATCTCAACAGATACATCGGCAGGTTATCTCAGAACGGCTCGGAGTAAGGGCCTGCGACGGTGCTCCTTTTCCGAAGATCGTTATCTTATACCAAGTTTACTAATTGGGGACCAGATCACCTGATAAGGATCCGGTGGGCCACCACTCCCCACGTGAGCGTGGCTCGGCGGAAGGAGGTGCCAAGAATCAGTTCGTATTGATGGATCTGTTGGGAATTTATGCGATTAAGAGTACAGCCCACTAAATATTAAAGATAAAAATTAAGAATACTCTTATACGACGGAGGCCACCACTCGGTCTCGTTGTGATGCCTTCCCAGCCACGGATGACTTATGGGTTCGAGTGTGTTTGAGTGGTAAGAGTTGTCTTGAATAGTCAGTGTTCGGAGTCGATTCTTTATGTCAAACAGACGCCTGGTGGTCGTGTGGTGAGGGGGCGGTGCGCGTCATACGTATCAGGCGCTCTCCTGTCACCGTGGTGAATTGGCTCGGATGGCTGTTGATACGCTGTCGCAGTTCGGAACCCGGTCGGTAGGTGGCGCCCACAACTCGCTCGTAGCGTGCAGCGTTGGATCGTCGCCAAGTCGCGACGCTCACCACCGGCGGCAGCGGAGATCTCCGGCGGCAGCAGAGATTGACGAGCTGAAGATGAGTCGAGCCGACCCGCTGGTCGCAGCTCGCTCCTGAGTCGACCCTCCCGGTCGAGCTCGCTCCTGGGTCGACCCGCTGGTCGCCCTCGCTCCTGAGTCGACTCTCTGGTCGCACTCCTGAGTGGACCCGCTCTGGTCGCACTCGTTCCTGAGTCGACTCTCCTGGTCGCACTCTGAGTGGACCCCCTGTCGCACTCGTTCCTGAGTCGACCCTCCCGGTCGAGCTTCTGAGTGGACCCTCCCGTCGCACTGGTTTCCAATGTTCAGGATCCGTTCCTTTATGCTGAAAAATCCCCCTGGATCCCGCCCACAAGGCGGGGCTTCCGATTTTTGCTGTGTCAGGATCTGTCCGTAGGCAGGTGTGTCCATGTGTGTGTCCGTATGTCCTTGTGTGCATCACTGACGGTATATTCCGTTGTCAACTCCCTCCATAAAACCCACGAGCAAACAACCAGATGTTACAAATTGTCTCGAAGTCGTCTCTCTGTCTGGGTGCAATTTATCTCTTGTCTGGCCTTCTTCATGAACCCAAAACACAGACGTTACAAATCGTCTCATAGGCGTCTTTGTTCGTGTTGCACAACCTGGAGGGGGGCAACACTCTCTCCGACCCGGCGCACAAAGAAATGGTTAAAAGTTTTAAGTTAACATTTGTCCCTTACTATTTCACAGTTATGATTCTGTATGTAACCTAAGGTCTGTCGTTTCCCATCGTGGTTCCCGACCCAAGTGTAGGTGTTTCCCCGAGCGTACACACACTCCTATCCCGCGCTGCGGGGATACAAAGACGGCCGGGATCTCCCTTTCTCTCCGACCCTGGGTTTAACATCGTTTTTTTTTATTATGTATTTATATTCGACCTGGTGGTGATTCATCCCGTTATCCTGGCTTTTCCATAAGTTTTACTTTTGTCTTTCATGCATATACTTATTACTATTAATTTATTTCCGATATCTTAGGTTAAGGGGTAAGTTTCTTGATCCTAGGAATTCGTATTCCTTGGTGCCTGGATGGTTATATAAGCGGAATATAGTTTACGGTGAATAGCGTTAACATTGATGTTATGTGCGATATTATGTATTGTGATGTCTTTAACTTAACTTGTTTGTCAGGGCTTTACTGACACGAAGTTGCATTCCTAGCCCGCAGTCTTTGCCCCACCCTATCTCTGCTCGCCGTTGTTGTTGCCTGCCGTTAATTCAAGGCCTCATTAATTTCCGTCACCCCTGAGTAGGTGAGGGCGGTTGAACCTTGGAGTCAGTTCTGGTTTTTGTCTGCCTGCTTCTTCTTGTGTCCCCTGACCCCGGGAGTTATTATTCTACTTTATGGCCTGTCGAAGCCCCACTCGCTGTTGCTGGGCTGGTGTTGTTCCCGGCTTTTTGCTTACGTTTGCAGTTCGCCGTGCTCTTGATTTCCTTCCCTCTTCAACCTTATATTGACTATTCGCTCCTGTCTGGGTGCGATTCAATTTTGACTTAGGAAGGTTCTGATTGTCATATGCTTCGGGTCGAATTGTATAGAAAGTATTGAAGTATGGAAATAACATTTCATATTGACTTAATGATGGTGATGGTTCAGTAGGCGTAACTTGTGACCTGGTTTAATTGGAGTGGGTGTGAATATCAATAACTTTAGCCTACTCTGTTGTTAAATTCCGACTTTAACGTTACTTTAATAGCAATACAGAATAATTGAGCTTTTTGTCTTAACTAGGCGAATGCGAACTTCTGGTGACCCCCGCAGCCGTGTTGTTCAGCTGGGTCTTGTGCCTTGAGAGATATACAACCCTCTTTTAAATCACCTCTCCCCCTGCCAACCTTCTGCTCTGGGAGTGTTTATTCTTGATTCCAGGTCCAAGGCCCCCTCACATCCAGACGCACAGGGTTGTTTACATCAGCTCCCCCCCTGTGCACGTGTTCTAACTAGCTCGGAATTCCTGAACACACAATCAGTGATGATTCCTGGCTTTCTGTGGTTGTGATTTAGACAAAGGCGCCTCTGTTTCTTCCATTGCCTTTGAGTCGACACTGCCCTATTATTTGCCCATGTGCTGAGGTCATAGAATTCGTTTTGACTTCAGTAATATTAACATTCAGTATTGGATTAGCAAATGGGCAATGGTTCATTGATGTAGCTCGCAGCCTGGTCTCCAGTTTGAGCGAGCGCGAGGATCGATAATTTAGCCTACTCTGTTGTTGAATTTCGAATTTTGACGTTACTTTAAAACCATGCAGGATGATTGGGCTTTTGCCTTAACTATGTCTGGCTGACACTCCCACTGTCTCTGCCGCCTGCACGGGTGACATGTGCCCGTTCATCAGGCCTTATCTTCCCTTGAAGCAACGTTGTAAATTCTGCCATCCTAGCCCTCCTCCGGTTCATTACTTAACAACACCTGGTGTTTTGCAGTTTGCTGCGCTTGGTGTGTTTCACTCATTAAAAAAACAAGTAAAAAGATAATATATAAAAATCATCAAATATTATTAATCTCAATTATGGAAGAAGGGTTAGTATACAACAACACACACACACATGAACACCGCGAGAGAGAGGGGAGGAAGGGATGATCGGGGGGAAGGAGAGGGAGGAAGGGATGAGAGAGGAAGGAGAGGGAGGAAGGGAGGGAGGAGAGGGGAGGGAGGGAGGAGAGGGGAGGGAGGGAGGGGGGCGGGTGAGGGAGGCACCTTGAAGGCGGTGGGGAAGTCGCGCCAGCCGGAGCCGAAGCCGGCGCGTGCCGTCACCTCCTCGCTGCCGTCCTGGTGCGCTTGGGAGACATAGCGCGCACGCAGCCTCGCCGAGCCTGGGGGCACCAACACATACAGACACACACACACGCGCACACACGCACAGACGCGCACACATGCACAGACACGCACACACGCACACAAGCACAGACACACGCATGCACATAAAAACAAAGTCCAGGTAGAAGGTTGGAGTGAGTGCCATTAGCAAGCACCCACGAAGGCCGGCACGGCGCGCACTCACCCACGCTCACCCACTCTCACCCACACTCACCCACACTCACCCACGCTCACCCACTCGCTCATTCATCCACCAACCCTGTCATCCACTCGCTCATTCCTTTACCGCTACTCCCGTGGTCACTGTTCCTGTGAAATCCACTCGTTCATTTCTTCTCCCGCGACTCTACCAGACACTGACTGTGTCGTCTCATCCACCACAACCAGCACCACCAGCACCACCACCACCACCGCACTTTGTTCAAACACCACCACACTGCAGGTCTCATCAACAACAACACTCACCCTCCTACTCTCTCATCCACTTGCTCACTCATCCGCTCCCTCAATCATTCACTCACTCATCCACTCGCTGCAGGTCACAACAGCACTCTCACTCACCCCCACTCACCGATTCGCCCTCTCACTCACAGAACACGCACACCCGCGGACGTGCGTCTCCACGCAAGCGTTGGTCACGTGGTCACGTGGTCACGTGGGGAGCGGTGGCGATCCGAGTTCGATCCCTGCTCAGCCGACGACGGTGACGAATATCTGAACCGGCCTCGGGATATCCCCCAAGACGGACCGAGCCTCCTACACGTGCCGGGTGCGGCGTGTAAACGTCGGCACCTGGGAGACAAAGGCGGCCCGGCCTTTCGCCGACCGCCCGCCCCCCGCTCGTGCGCCGCGCCCGCCGTCGTAGGCGTGCGCTCGCCACGCGGGTGGGAGGCGGCCGCACGGGGAAGCTCTGCCCGCTCGTGCGCTCGCCCCGCGGGTGCACGGGGGAGCTCTGCGCGCTCGAGACCTGGCAGGGAGCGCGGGAACGCGAAGAGCGGTACAGCGATGGCCCAGGAGAGGAGGCACGCGACGATGAAGCCGATCCACCAGGCGCCAAGCCAGCGCGAGTCGCTGGGGCTCAGCGGGGCGCTGCCGACGCGGGCACGCACGGGGAGACGCACGGAGACACACACAAACACAGAGACGCACGGAGACACACACAGACACAGAGACGCATGGAGACACACAGACACAGAGACGCACGGAGACACACAGACACAGAGATGCACGGAGACACACACAGACACAGAGACACAATGGGATACACACATGAGGAGATACAGAGACACACAGAGACACACATACTTTTCAGCACTGGAATGTTTGTTTGGCCAATACCGGTTACACAGAGTGTGTGTGTGTGTACACGTGTGTGTGTCTCCTGTGTGTGCATCTCCTGTGTGTGTGTCTGTGTGTGTCAGTGTGTCTGTATTGAGCTATGGTGGGGAGCGTGTAGCGGTTAGCGCTGCGCTACGAACCTGGCGAGCCGGGTTCGATTCCCACTCACGGTCAACACCAGTGACGATTATCTGAACCGGTCCTGGGCCTCCCATAGGTCGACTCAGCCTCAAATGAGTACCGTGTGCGATGTGTAAATATCGCCACTAGGGAGACAAAGACGGTATGGGCGTGGTGCTGGCCACCCACCCCCTCGTGTGCCGTGCCGGCCTTTATAGGTGCTCGCTAACAGCACTTGCCCCTACAGTCTGTTAAGGCTACATGGGGGGATCTTTGTCTTAGCTATGCCAGGGGAGAACTGGAGAACCCGGAGGAAACCCATGCAGAACAGAGGGAGAGAGACCTCCACACGCGCACTCTCACTCACTCGCTCCCACTCACACTCACTCGCTCGCTCACTCACTCACTCCCACTCACATTCACTCCCTACAGAACAGGCTTCAAGAGCACACAAACTCCACACAGAGAGGCACCCGGGTCCGGATTCGAACCCGTGCACTCGGTGCTGCGAGGCCACGGGACGCACTTGCCGCTCCTGTCCACGTCAATGTAGATGTTGAGCAGCTGCCCTCCGGCGACGTAGCCGATGGCCGGACCCAGCGCGGACATCCCGAAGGCGATGCCTGCAGCACAGAGACAAAGCGAGAGGCCGCGGCCCCTGTAGCCGTCGCCACACTCGTGGGGCAAGTGCTGCTAACGATGCTGTTGAGTTGCAACAGGAGCCATGTGCGAGCAGCTGTAGCAGCAGCAGCAGCAACACGGGCAGCAGCTGTAGCAGCAGAGGCAGCAGCAGCAGCAACACGGGCAGCAGCAGCAGCTGTAGCAGCAGGGGCAGCAGGTGTGATGATAGTCACCAATGTAGAGCGAGGACTGGGCCTGCGTGACGCTCTCGTCCATGAAGGCCGTGCCGAGCGTGTAGAGCGGCGTGCAGCCGGCGCCGTGCAGCAGCTGTCCCAGCACGAACACGAAGAGGTACGCCGAGAGGGAGGGGGCGGCCGCATCGCCGCCCCCCCCGGGCGGGGGGCACGACGAGGAGTTGCGCGTCGCTGAGCACGTCTCTGGGGACGCGGAGTGGAGCCGCCGTGAGTCGCCAGCGGCGGCGTCGTCATCGTCGTCGTCATCATTATCATCATCGTCGTCATGATCATCGTCATCATCATCGTCATCACCATCATCATCGTCATCGCCATCATCATCGTAGTCGTCATGATCGTCATTATCATCGTCGTCATCATCGTCGTCGTCGTCGTCATCGTCGTGTAGCTGCCCTGAAGTGTTGGAACCACCTCGCTTCGTCTATTGGCATCTCCATTCTGCCATCGCTCTCCTTATTTAAACTGACTCTATTATTGAAATCACTAAGGTTTAAGTACGAATGTAATTTTACAATATGTTTGCTATCGTTATTGGTGTTTGTTTTTTTAATCTGTAATTGTGGAATGCTTCGACGCTGTCTACCGGCCGAGCCGCCCTTAAAAAATTAAACTTCTTAGCTCAATTGGCTTGACTCGGTAGGAAATGCACTCCTGCATCGTTGTCATCATCGTCGTCATCATCGTCGTCATTGTCGTCATCATCATCATCGTCATTATCATCATTGTCGTCATCATTGTCGTCATCATCGTCATCGTCATCATCGTCGTCGCTGTGGTCATCATTATCGTCATCATCATAGTCGACATTATTATCATCATCATCATTGTTGTCATCATCGTCGTCATCATCGTCATCATCATCGTCATCATCGTCGTCATCATCGTCATCATCATCGTCATCATCATCGTCATCATCATCATCATCCGCCATCATCATCCGGCCGACCCCTCAGAGACACGAGAAGCGCCGCTCCTGGGGAGACCCCCCAGCGGCAGGCGCCCCCCCCCCCCCCCCCCCCCACGAGCGACCCACCGAGCCGTTCGTCGCCGAGCCGGTAGGGCCCGACCGTGAAGTGCGGCAGCGCGAACACGAGCGATCCGGCGCCCATGACGACGGCGCCCAGCGCCAGCCAGCGCGGCTTGTGCCCGCGGCCGCCCAGGAAGGTGACGGGCAGCGTGCAGACGCAGAAGGCGATGTCGTAGCCCGCGGCCACGAGCCCCATGAGGGAGCTGCTCAGGTCGAAGCGCTGCTCGATGGTGGTGATGCTCACGTTCACCAGCCCGTTCACCGCCGCGCCTGCACGCGGCACCGGCACGGCAGGAATTCCACATCGCCGTGCCGTTCCCATCCCTCTCTCTCGCTCGTCGTAGCAGCAGCAGGAGACCTCGATATTGGCATTGAGATCCTGGGCCACATGGCTGCTACCGTCACGTGCAGAATAGCATAGGGGGATACTGCCCATGCCATCCACTCGCACACAGAGACAAAGTTCCCCCGTATAGTCTCAACAGACTATTGGGGCAAGTGCTGTTAGCGAGAACCTATGAAGGCCGGCACAGCACACGAGGGGGTGGAGGGCCAACACCACCAAGACCGGTTCAGATAATCGCCACTGGTGTTGGCCGTGAGCGAGAATCGAACCCGTGTCGCCGAGTTCGTAGCGCAGCGTAGCGCTAACCGCTACACTACCGCTCCACACAGACACACACGGATACACACACACAGATACACAAATAGATAAACAGACACACACACACAAACAGATACACAGACATATAAACAGATAGACAGACACACACACAAACAGATAAACAGATACACAAAAACAAAGATACACACACGCACATATACACAGAAACACAGATAGACACACACACAGACACACAGTTACTCACACAGAGACACACACCACCACACACAGACACAGAAAGAGGGGGGGGGGCTCGCCCCCACCCTCTCGCGGCCCTCACCCTGCAAGGTGCACATGAGTCCGAAGAACAGCAGGTAGCCCTTGGGGTTGTTGCAGACCTGCAGGCAAGAGGGCCTCACACGCCACCACCCACACGGACCCTCGCCAGCCTCCTCCTCCTCCTCCTCCACCTCCTCCTCCTCCCGCTCCTCCTTCCTCCTCCTCCCGGCTTCGTCGCCTTCCGGGCCGGCGTGGCCGCTTCTCCCCTCGGCCGGTGCAGGCTCCTCGGCGGCACGACGACCCCCATCCTCCTCCTCCTCCTGCTGCTCGTAGGCCGGGTTCGGGACGCCCCCGAGAGCCATGGGGAAGAGCCGGCAAACCGGGGCCTGCCGGGGTCACACGCCCAGACAGAGACCCCCCGCGTGGTCCACGGAGGCTGTTGGGGTGAGTGACGTTGCGGCGTACGAGCGGGCGGTGTGGCAGGCACCGTGCCGCCTTTGTCTCCCCAGTGTTGATGTTTACTTCACACGACACCAGGTACTCATTTACAGCCGAGTTGATCTAGGGGAAACCCAGGAGCGGTTTCAGATATCACTCGCCACTGACGTTAGCCATGTTTGGGAACGAAACTCTGCTGGTTGAAGACTAACAAATATAAAGGGGATACAAATCAGAGTGTGTCGTTAAGATGCAGTCGCTCTGTGATGGTGTAGAGGCAGAGGCACGCTGGGAGTGTCAGCAGCAGCAGCATGTGAATAGACTCGCGCAGAGACCCATGCACGCACAGCGAGACCCATAGACTCGCGTACAAACCCATGACTCCCTCCCTATTAAATAATCACCTGTCACGGTCCGTGCTGCGTGCGTGCCGTGCCTGTCGGCGCGCGTCTCCCGCGGTCGATGCGTCCCGTCCTCCTCTTGCGCCGCTCCTCCGCAGAGTGCCGGCACGCCCCGTGCCCGTCCAGCGCCAGCGGGGTGAACTTAAAACTCACATGGACTTTGTCACGTAAACTCACGCGCACGCACGCGGGTTCACCTACAAGACGCCACAAACGTTATCGGGTGCCGTGCGTGACCCGCAACGGCGCGGCGCCGATAAGGCGGTGACTCCGCGAGAGCCGCACACGACTCCAGAGCCGCCGGCGGCCCCCGTCGCAGCCGGCGGCGCGGCACGCAAAGGGCGCTCGCCGCACGCAACCGTGCGACGAACAGAGCAAAGAACGTTTTGAGATGACGAACCTTCCGTTGCGTGTGGCTCTCCGCAAAAACCACGTGTTTATACTTGTACACCTCCCATCCGCCACCCGGGCCTCCCCAGTTTCGACATGCAGACATGCAGTGTCTCATCAGGAGAGTCAGGCTGCTTAGACCGTTGGTTCAACACAAGAAAAAACTCTGGACTCGTTTCAACTTGCAGTGTCTCTTCAGCAGTCAGACTTGCTTGAACAGATGCTGGTGAACGGCCGGATGTTTAGTGGCAGTTGTGGAATGATCATTAACGCAATAATTGAGCCGACAATTTAAATCCTTCACCTTTCCTCTCCACATAAAAAAACTCAAAGAGTTGTTTCACACGTCCCATCGGCCACACATGCTTGCCGATAAACATCTGGCAGCTCTCCAGCATCGGTTGAAGCAATCCCAACCCTGCCGATGAGACACCGAAAGTCGAAAGGGGTCCAGAATTTTTCTCGAATTCAACTAAAGCTGGCGCTATGACGAACTCGCGGGAAGGAAGACCGCGTGGGCGATGGGACTTGTAAATAGAAACCGCTTTGTTTTTTACTTTACTTACGTGGAGGGCGGACGTGGGAAGGAGGGAGACGGAGCGCTCTGCCCGGTTATCAACACGGTCGGTGTTGAGCTGCCCCGTGCACCGGGCCAGCAGATAGCAGCGCAGATAACAGCAGCGCAGATAACAGCGCAGATAGCAGCAGCAGATAGCAGCAGCAGCAGGAACAACACGAGGCGGCTCGCGGGGACAAAGTCCGAAACGCTGGACTTGAGTCGGGTGTGGCAATCACGGAGGGCGGCCGGGCTCTCGACGCGAAGTCACCTGGGGACAGCGGGGGTCAGCTGGTGTTCACCCCGTGCGGACCGAGCGCGGGACGGACGCGCGATGATCCCACGCGCGTACGGACCGAGTGCTGCACCCACGCGCGTACGGACCGACCGCGGTGAACCAACGCGTGGCCCGGGCGGATCGGCGTTGGAGCGGGCGGCGAGCGGAAGGTCGCGAGTTCAATCCTAGGTTGTGGTGGGCAGGCCGGCTCGGCCCATCATTCCTCCCTCCGGGGGCAATAAAATCAATACCACGCCACTCGCGGAAGCTCAATAGAGACTTGGCCGTGCCTGCCATAGCGATGTGGAATTTCCACCATTGGCTCTGCGGGGGCTGTAACCGGAAGAGGAGCATCCTAAGCCTTGACGTGGCTCATGTGAGCAGCAGGAGTTAACAACACAAACGAACCATCACGGCTGTCTCGAGTGTGGAGAAGCCAACAAAGTAACTGGGCAGACGGTTCGCCTCCTTCCCACATCTGTTCCTCCATGTGAACCAACTCCAAGTCATTGTTTACACATCTCACCAGCCACACGGACTCCTGCCAGTGCACAATTTCAGAAGCATTGGTTCGGGCTTGCCTGGTTCGGGCTTGCCTGAGGCTCGCCTGGACCAATGCTTTTGGTGAACTGCCAATCCCCTTCAACGATAAAGCAGAGAAGCGAGCAGTGGAACTGTTGAAATTGAATTTTTATTCTTCACGTGACGCTGCACAGCTGCACAGGGGCAGGGAGGAGGCCGGGTGCTCCCGCACGTAAGCACGTTGAACTTCGATCGCACCGTACGAAGCCAACCAGGCCAATCGGAAGTGCGGGGAAGGACAACAGACCAATAACAACAACAACAGCCGCCATTCGCCACTAAGTGGCGGCGATGTCACCACGGCGCTTGCGCCAGGCTATGTGCACGTTAAGGCCACGTGAAGTGTCGAACGCCCGCTGGCAGGAGGTCACGGGGCAGACCCAGGTGCCACGGGTCGACTGACTGAGATGACCGAGACTACTTGCCGATGCATCACCTGTGCCCCCTACTGTGCAACTTGCTGTGCTTTAGCCGCCCGCTCGTTGTTGACTAAACAACACCAGAACCACGCACGCACAGACGCAATAGCGAGATTGTGACCCAAATTTTGTCACGGGGGCACTGTAATACCTGGGGCGGACTGCCCCCCAGGTCTTGCCTCACTGCACTTCATAGAATTCGACGCAAAGCAGTCACAGTGATGGCAATGTTACTGCGCTTGTTCACGTATGTTGAACTTCTTTCGCACCGTACGTAGCCAATCGTGCTCGTCGGAGGTGCGGGGGAAGGACCCTGCAGGAAAGCCTCACCGAGTCTCCTTTTCACGAGGGTCCTGCCAAGTTGTCGCAGTCGAGGGAGATGTTGCTGTGTGATGCCAATTGAGTAATTTGCTGGTTGAAACTAATATAAAACTAAATAATTTTTTATTTCACCAGGCAATGCCCTACTGAGCTATGTGGCTCTTTTCACAAGCGACCTGGCCACAAATGATAGCTAAACGAAGTGGCTTATCACGTGGAAATTTATATCGGCAAAACACACGTTTCTAAATGTGGAGGGAAAAACCGGACGATCCGGAGAAGAATCCACGCGACCACAGGGAGAAAGAGAGAGAGAGACATGCAAACGCCAAATATACAGCAGCAGGCATCAGGGTTGAGATCGAACCCGCTATCTCCTGCATACCAGGCGAGGGAGTTCACATCTCGCCACTGTGGTTAATTTACAAGCACTGCGATGTAGTTTCAGCCAATACCGGTTACATTGTGACTCTTTTATATAAATATATATTTGGCTACGGGAGAGAGAGAGAACACACAAACTCTGCGGGATAACGCGCCCGAGTCGGCAATGGAACCCAGGCCGAGTGTTACCACTGGGCTGCCCCCCCCCCCCCAACGGTGCCACTCACTGCCCCCCCCCCCCCACGGTGCCACTCACTGCGCTCTCACCGAGACCCCGCGGAGCAACCTCGGCGGTGAACCCGGCTACCGCCGCCGCCGGGCCGGTGAACGACGCGGCGGCCAGTTGCAGAGCCAGCCCGCTCGGCCCCGCGCCGATAAGGAGCACTGCGACCGTAAACTTGACGGCGGCAATAGCGCGTCCCGTTTGTAGCGCGTCCCGTTTGTAGCGTGTCCCGTTTGAAGATCTTATCGCGTGATCCGCCCATCTTGGACGAACGACCGCCGCGCCACCGGGGAGTCGGGGCGGCGGCCCGGCGGGAGGGCGATCGCCGCTCGTTGCGCAGATTCGCGGTTCGACCCCGGCGGTCTGCCCCGGTTAACGCTGCGGAGCGTAATATCCGTGTTGGTCGGGGTCATCTCCGTCACCGACGCAGTCGCCTCATTCACGTTCATCTCGTTCACCTTGCTCGTCACGTGCGTCACGCTCAACTCCGCAGGCCGCGCAGGAGGACGGCGGTGGCGGCGGCGACGGTGACGATCGGCGACTGGGCGGCCAGGGTCGGCCTTCGGTCGCTCGAGGAAGTGCCGGCTGCCGCCACAGGAACCCCGTTGGTGTAAGTGGCCCCCGCTCGCCCCGTGTCCCCCTCCCACGCGCAGTCGCGGGTCACCGCTGCGCCGCCGCTCGGCCCGCTCGCGGCTCCGAGCTCCGGGGACGAGGTACGGGCGGAGCGCGCGGAACGCGCGGACACGCCGCAGCCTGTGCTGGGCGGGCAGCGCGACGGCGTCGAGGTCCATGACGTCCCCGGGCCACGCACGGCGCGAGCGGTCGGCGGGAGAGGACGGGGGCGCAGCCTCGTCGCCAGTGACCCAGCTGGCTCGCCGAGCGAGCAGATCTCGACTTGGTTGTTTCAACTCCGACTTCTACTCGGCGTCTTTTTGTCGCTTACTTTGACCTCTGGTCGCCCCGCTTCGTACTTTGCTTCGCTGTTGTACTTTGTGTTGATGTTGTTGTTCCTGGTGACCCGGGTCACATGTGCAAACGAACACCGCTGCTCTTGGCCCGGTCTCTCTCTCGAGCTCTCGGGCCGTTCCACAAACATCGCCGCTCGTCGCGAACGAGTTCAGCGGCTGCGGGACCCCAGGACCCTGGGATGGGAGATGGGAGGGGGTGGGTAAAGGCGCAGCTCTGCAAGTGTTAACGAACTGTGTGTGCACGTTGCACCTTCTTTCGCACCGTACATTGCCAACCGTGCTAATCGGAGGTGCGGGGGAAGGACAACAAACTCAACACAAAAATCAGCTCGAGAGAAATGCGTTTGTCAATCTCGACGACTTCAAAGTGCACAGCTCCGCTTCCTCACATCTCACGGAAACGCGTTCCACACGGCCGCAGAAGCGCGTCTGAAAGAGGTAACGGCGCAGCCCTGAAAGTGCTCGCTCAAGCCGCTGCTGGCAGAAGAGACTCGGTTACAGGGAGCTCTCTCTCTCTCTCTCGAGGGGGGGGGGGGTATTTGTCCTCCTCTTCCACACTCACCAGACGCCTTGGAACACGCGGGGCGTGACGCACGCCTTGACCCCCCTCCCCGCCCACAGGCGACCTGCCCCCCTCACGGGCGTGCCCGCGGTACGGCTCGGGGACACTCCAAGTGGCGCGCCGGGTGATCAACTCGGAGGTCCGGCGCGTTGCTAACCACTCCACTGTCGCGGTGAGTGTGGGGAGCGGTGGCGCAGTGGTGAGCGCGGTGAGTGTGGGGAGCGGTGGCGCAGTGGTGAGCGCGGTGAGTGTGGGGAGCGGTGGCGCAGTGGTGAGCGCGGTGAGTGTGGGGAGCGGTGGCGCAGTGGTTGGCGCGGTGAGTTTGGGGAGCGGTGGCGCAGTGGTTGGCGCGGTGAGTTTGGGGAGCGGTGGCGCAGTGGTTGGCGCGGTGAGTGTGGGGAGCGGTGGCGCAGTGGTGAGCGCGGTGAGTGTGGGGAGCGGTGGCGCAGTGGTGAGCGCGGTGAGTGTGGGGAGCGGTGGCGCAGTGGTGAGCGCGGTGAGTGTGGGGAGCGGTGGCGCAGTGGTGAGCGCGGTGAGTGTGGGGAGCGGTGGCGCAGTGGTGAGCGCGGTGAGTGTGGGGAGCGGTGGCGCAGTGGTGAGCGCGGTGAGTGTGGGGAGCGGTGGCGCAGTGGTGAGCGCGGTGAGTGTGGGGAGCGGTGGCGCAGTGGTTGGCGCGGTGAGTGTGGGGAGCGGTGGCGCAGTGGTTGGCGCGGTGAGTTTGGGGAGCGGTGGCGCAGTGGTGAGCGCGGTGAGTGTGGGGAGCGGTGGCGCAGTGGTTGGCGCGGTGAGTGTGGGGAGCGGTGGCGCAGTGGTGAGCGCGGTGAGTGTGGGGAGCGGTGGCGCAGTGGTGAGCGCGGTGAGTGTGGGGAGCGGTGGCGCAGTGGTTGGCGCGGTGAGTGTGGGGAGCGGTGGCGCAGTGGTTGGCGCGGTGAGTTTGGGGAGCGGTGGCGCAGTGGTGAGCGCGGTGAGTGTGGGGAGCGGTGGCGCAGTGGTGAGCGCGGTGAGTTTGGGGAGCGGTGGCGCAGTGGTTGGCGCGGTGAGTTTGGGGAGCGGTGGCGCAGTGGTTGGCGCGGTGAGTGTGGGGAGCGGTGGCGCAGTGGTGAGCAAGCGCACTGACCGGCGTGGTGAAGTATGGTCAGACGGCCTCCGTGACCGGCAGCAGCGTGGCCTCCATCCAGCAGTGGATTGAGAAAGGGGGAGGGAGGGGGGGGCCGTGAATGGCGGGATCCCACGGGGGGCGCAGTGCCACTGTGCTCGACAGCTGTGCCGCCCACGTGGTTCGCGCGTGCGGCGACTTCCGGGTCGCCACGTGGAGGGGAGAGGCGGGGGGGGAGGTCGCGCGCGCGCGTCCCCACGGCGCTCTCCCTCGTCACTTTGCTCGATCCGCTGCTGGACGAGCGACTTCCTCGCTCGTCCAGCAGCGTGAGTGGGGGCCGGGGGGTGGGGGCCGGGGGGTGGGGGCCGGGGGGGTGGGGGCCGGGGGGTGGGGGCCGGGGGGGTGGGCCGGGGGGGTGGGGGCCGGGGGGGTTCGGATCGTCCCGTCCCGCCAGCTGATTGCGGGAGTCGAACTCGCGGTACGCTCACCACTCGCGCCACCGCTCCCCCGCATACCGAGACGGCGTGAGGTCGTCATCCCAACACCGTGAATGGACGGCTCGTTCGCGGTGTTGGATGATGCGACGGGATGTTGATCGTCTGCCAGGGCTTGTCCGCTGCCGCTTGAAGGCCGACGCCCACGCCGGCATCAATCGGCACGCGCGGTTCTCCGACGCCGCAGCCGATTCGATTCCATCGCTCCATCTCCGCGGTGGCGCCTCTCGCGCGGTCTCTCCTGAGGCTGCCATTCCATCGTGAGCCTCGTCCCCGGCATCGCCACAGGCGGTGTGCGGTGCCCAGGCCCCACTGCTCGATTAATATACAATGGTGCTCAGCTCTTTGCTCGATCCACTGCTGGATGAAGGTCGTGCGGACTGCGACGGGACACGACCACGGATGGTCAGCGCGGGCTCGTTAAAAGGGGCCCCCCACCAACCGGTTGAGATGTCACTCGCCACTGACGTTAGCCGTGGCCGGGAATCGAACCTACAGTGAGGGAAAAAAGTATTTGATCTCCTGCTGACTTTGTACGTTTGCCCACTGACAAAGAAATGATCAGTCTATAAATTTAATGGTAGGTTTATTTGAACAGTGAGAGACAGAATAACAACAACAAAATCCAGAAAAACGCATGTCAAAAAAGGTTATAAATTGATTTGCATTTTAATGAGGGAAATAAGTATTTGACCCCCGCTCAATCAGAAAGATTTCTGGCTCCCAGGTGTCTTTTATACAGGTAACGAGCTGAGATTAGGAGCACACTCTTAAAGGGAGTGCTCCTAATCTCAGCTTGTTACCTGTATAAAAGACACCTGTTCACAGAAGCAATCAATCAATCAGATTCCAAACTCTCCACCATGGCCAAGACCAAAGAGCCCTCCAAGGATGTCAGGGACAAGATTGTAGACCAACACAAGGCTGGAATGGGCTACAAGACCATCGCCAAGCAGCTTAGGTCGCCAGGTTCACAGCGCGACGCTAACCCCCCCCCCCCCCCCCCGTCCTGTGCACTGCAGTCGGGGTGGAGCACGTGGCTCGCACTGCGGAGGCAGCCGTGAGGGTTGGTGGATCACGCGCGCGTCGTCGTCGCCGCCCACGCGTCCGCGGGGCCATGTCGGCGAGCGGTGCTGGCCGCCCGTCCCCGCCGCCCGAGGTGTTCCGCTACTCGGACGCGGATCTGCGGAGCGGCGCCTCGGGGCGTCGCTTCGACGAGGCGCTGCTGCGGCTGTGGGACGAGCGCATGGAGGCCGGGGGGGTCTTCCGCTACGCGCTGCGCGCGCCGCCGCCCACGCGCCGCCTCCCGGGGCCCTTGGGCCTCCTCGTGCAGCTGAACCCCGAGAGGACCGCCCTGCGCCGGCCCGCGCAGGACGCCCGGCGCCTGGACCAGCCCTTCCAGCCGGAGCTGTTCAACTTCACGCGCGTCCCGCCCGCCGAGATCCTCCTGGAGATGCGGCGGAGCGACGACGTGGCCGAGTCGCCGGGCGACCTCGTGCTGGTCAACGCGAGCCCTATCGAGCGCGGCCACGTGCTGCTCGTGCCGGCGCCCGGCCTGCGCCTCCCGCAGGCGCTGACCGAGCGCGCCGCCCGGCTCAGCGTCGACGCGCTACTGCTGAGCTCGCGCCGGGGCCTGCGCGTGGGCTTCAACTCGCTGTGCGCCCTCGCCTCCGTCAACCACCTGCACCTGCACGCCTACTACCTGGAGCGCGCGCTGCTGGCCGAGCGGGCGCCCGCGGCGGCGGTGGAGGAGGGCAGCCCGCTGCACGAGCTGGGGCCGCCCTCCCACCCGGCGCGGGGCTTCCTGCTGTACGAGGAGGAGGCGAGCGCCGACGCGGCGGGGCGGCTGGCG